AACAATAAACCACTTAAACAAACCAATATGTACACCGTACACGCTCCAAACAGAATTAAAACCGACTGCGGCGGAACTCCTTCACGTAACACGAAAAATGAACAAAAAATTACCTTATCAGACATTTTTTGCAGAGTTTTTATTCATCGATGCATCGCACACTAGGTGAATCTTAATTCAAATACTGCAACATTATTATAAGTTACGATTTTACATACAATTCGCCAAAAATAAATTAGAAAACTCGATTTAAGTACGTGTTTCGGAAATATTCTATTTTTCGACAGTTAATGAACAACAGAAGATTCAAATTTTTTCACCAATTTTGCTAAAGTACTCATGTAAAATAAATTCATACGGGATGTTCCAACGATCAAACATATAGAGTGTTCCGTTTAACTTATACAAGAAAGTTGTATGTTTACTTTCTGAGCGTAAGTTTGAAAAGTGTAGTAATAGAATCTATTTGGCTCCTTTCATGTTTTATCGATGTTTCTCAATCATAACCCCTACAATATAAAAAAAATGGTCGAAGTTTATTTCCCTAGAACTTACCTCCCCCCTGAAACAAATTCCGCCTCTTTGAAAAATGATGAAATTTGATTTTGCGATTTTTGTTTGTGGTAACCTCTATAAAGTAAAAACCAATGGCGTAAAAAACATCCCTCGCAGCCCCTGCGCTACAGGGGCACAAATTGCAAGGTACCGTGGTTGGCACAATTGCGATCGATAGAAAATATATTTAAACCAGATAACCAACAGGAAATGAACTCTTATTAGTAATTATATGGTTAACTTCGAGTATTTATGTTTATACTTCGGAAGAATTGGAATATAGTCACGTATAAGCATCAGTGGCCGCATAAAAGAAAATGAAATTTGATTGATTTTGTCTCCTTAAACCAGAGGAGTGAACTGATTAAAAATTATTTTGGGTGAGGAGCTACTATTGTAATAAAAATTATTTGCGGTGTGACATTACTGTAAATTTCGAGTAAGTGGGGTAAACAGTTTTTGATTTGATTAAAAAAAATGTAGCGAGGATGAGAAGATTCGAACTCATAGTAAGTACAAATTCTAAGTAGACTCTTTTAACATTTCTTCATTTATCCATGACGTCAGTCACTTTTGAGCTTTAACGTCATCCTCATTTTTTTAATGGAATGCTACGTATAGTTTTTGTTGCAGTTTTCGATAGTACACTTAAGGATCTTTTTAACAAATTATACATGATATCTTTATCTTCAATCGTTTTTGAAATATTCTCATTTTATGCTTCATAACAATTATTCAGACGTGTCCAAATTTCTTAAATAATAATAAACAAATTGATGAACTTTTTACTTCCTGGGCCTAAACTAAGAAAGTCCTGTAATAGGGTCCATCGGACAAATGGTTACTTTCATGTTTTGTCGACGACCCTAAGAATAGGTTTCAGGTTTCCGTCTGCTGTCGTCTGTGTCAATTTTTATTAGGTAGATCTCCGAAATGTCATGTTAGCAATATCGTGTAAATGGTAAAACGCTAAGCAAAGTGTTTCTAATCATCGCACCAACAATATTACGTCTCCTTATCACTTTGTGTAGTTACGGTTATCTAAATATAAGGAAATAATATACTCCTGTACTCGTGGTTTATGAATCCGCCTTAATTTTCATCACAATATACTTTACATGTGCAATATTTGCATGTAGTTTATGTAGCCGACGTCTCGCTTCTGCATCTAATGCTTCATAATCGAGCGGGATTGATGATTGATTTTCGGACTCGGATTCTCTGTCCCATGTAGGTTCGGATTCCATCCTTATCTAGTGAGTGTTTTTTTTTTCACTGTAACTTGTCTTACTTATATTTTATTAATTGTTATCATAAAATAATTAAAATTTTGCAAAATCAAATTTTATAATTTTTTGAAAAAATTTGAATTGTTCAGTTGTATTTAAGGGGAGGGGGAAGTTCTATCTAATAACTTTAGATCTTGTCTTTAACTGTCAAATTAAACAACATTATTTTTTAGAATAAATTGCAAGACCTACTAGAGGAATTTTCTCTTCGTTCGTAATTTAAACCACTGGATTGAAGCCCACAAATGTAATTATCTCAAGAATTGTTGAAAACAACGGTAACACAATTGTGTGAATTCCTTGAAAAGGTTTTTAAAAGTACTATCTAAAAATGATATAAACAAAAATTGGGCGAAGATTATTTCGATAGAATTTCCCTGGTCCCTAAAGTACAGTCCAACAGATCCCGCTTCTTTGAAAAATTATCCAATTTGATTTGGCAACATTTTACTTGTGATAAACTCTACACATAAAAATTATAAATAATAACAGCAATAGTGTAAGAAAAAAATTGATCTAAGATTATTTAGAGGTCCCTTAAAGACAAGGAAACAAATCCAGTTTTTCCAAGAATAAAAAAAATATTTTGCAAAATTCTATTTATTTTATGGTAACCACTATAAGTGAAACAGTATAGATATAATACACCCCAAAGTAAGAAAAAATGTTGGTCAAAAGTTGTTTCGACAGAACTTCCCTCGCTCCTGAAATAAAATGATAATTTTTTTGAGTCACATTTATTCGACAAATTTTTGAGCTGACGTCATCAATTTTTTTGAGGGGATAAGCAAATATATTTTGACTAAAAATTTATTATGCTCTATATAATCTTAAAACATCTGCAAGATTTCAAAGCATTCGGTTTAGTGGATTCAAAATTAAATTGCAAAATGTTGTTTTATATTATTGATTTTTTTTTCAGAAAATCTGGACGCTTCGGGTAAAAACTCTATTCGGAGTCATAAACTACATGTTTAGGACTATGTTATTTTATACAATTTTACTATGTACAATGTTGAAGTGACGTCATCGCATTAGTAGTAAGGATGATTAGAGAAATTTTGGTTAGCGTTTTACCATCTACATGACATTCCTAATAAAAATACAAAATTTGAAAACAATCGGCCCAGTACTTTCTGTCTAATAAAAATCCGTGACGGCAGCCAGACAGACAGACGGGCAGAGAGACAGACGGAAACGGGAGACCTATTTCTACGTCCTGTAGGATTCACGAAAGGTCGAGAAAACGTAAAAGGAGAGAGTCGACCGACGGACTCGATTACAATACTTCCTTACGTTCGGGAAGTAAAAATTGTAAAGTAATTGGGATAAAAATCAAGGCGGAACACAAGTATAAGAATATATTATTTCAAGAAATTTAGATAACTTTAACAATTCAAAGTTATAAAAGGATGTCATCAAATTAGTGGAGAACGCTTACCAAAATTAGACAAATTTTGGTAAGCGTTTTACCCTCTATAGTCTATACGATATTCCTAAAACACATATAAAAGTTGACAACAATCGGTCCAGTAGTTTCGGAGATTGTCTGGTAAAAATCGACACAGACGACAGACAAACGGAAATAGGAAACGTATTTTTGCGTACTCTAAAGGGCAATGAAACATTGTAACCATGTAAAAATCAAACAAATATTCCTACAGAAAGTTTTTGTGTCAAATGGGAATTCTTCAAGTGTACTATGACTAAATCGGTCAAATTCACATTCAGTTTTGTCGTAAATTGATCAGTTTCAGAATCACGTGGCCAGAGACACTAGACCGATACATCTAATTGGTGGACACACAGTTGCGACGTCTCATTTTTTTAGATTTGACCCAATTGTTACTAAACCGTTCTACTGCTGGACTGATCCAAACTGAAACTTTTTTAATTTGAACACTTCACATTTTAAGATATGTACTTTCATTTTAGTAGATTTTGTTGAATGAACTTCCAAATTCATTTTAATTTTCGGAAATACTTTGATGGAATAATCACTTGTTACCCTAATAAGTACTTAAAAAAAATTATTGAGACAAATGTGATGAATGCTATTTAAATTTCACACTGTACTTTATGAGCAAAGGAAATTCTGTCAAGATAACTTTAGACTAATTTTTTATATCCCTGTGTACAAGCACGTATAGTGGACCAAGAGCTATAAGGTTATATCGCCATCATAAAATCATCCCATTGTGTCGAAGTTAAGTTGTTTACAATAGAAAAGGTTTTAGGGTCGTAAATAACATGTCCACTGCAGCTCGACCGGCTGTTGTGGTTCCGTTCAGGGGCGGCTTTCACTAACTATGAAAATCCACCACTCCACTATTTCTTTACTACCTGCAGCAGCTGAGGGTTCCGAAATAACCACTCGCTTTGAAAGCCGACCCTGTTAAATGTAAGTAAGAAATGTTTAGAAGACGATTTATTGCCAACCGGTAAGCTTAGTGCGAACCACACAAAGGGGGTATTTATTTGCGGTCAACTACTTTTATGATGGTCATATAACCTTATACCTTTTGGACAAGTATATTTTCTGAAGTTTTCTTGCATAATTATGAGTGTAACTATTGGTGTTAAAATTGCACAGAATATGTAACAAAAATTTAGTTATTTTTGTTTAATCTTACGCCTACTGCTAAAGTTACTTCAGCTGCTCAAGTTTTTAAACATACTTTTCAAAGTTCACACTCTGAAACAATACCCACTATAGTAGTGTAGCGTGTAGGTTGTCTGATAATAGTGATAACACAACTTCGATTGTTTGTATAAATTTCACACCTAACTATCTGTACATCCTATTAACATCTATCTAGCAAAAGCTACAAAATTCGTGACAAATTTTACTGATGTCTCTAAATTTGATGATTTGTTGTCACTTTTATTTAGTTATGTTATACTAACGTCATTTATACATGATAAATAGGAGTATATTATTTAGAGCTCCATTAACCACACGATTTATCACTATTTCTAGAAACTTTTTCAGAACACCAAACAACCTTAAGTCTACACATTCCCTTTTATAGACGCATTATGTTCTCCTCTTTCAAACTTCCATCTTCCAGACGACTAGATAGGTCACCGAACAAAGAACTTCTACTACTACAAATGTACCTATTGTATATTACTCCACGTTTTCTTCATCTTTAGCAACCTTCTCCTCCCCGATGGCGTTCCCATCGACCGCCAGCGCGCCCGTTTCATCGTTAAAATCTACCGAGCCGACGGCCTGCCAAAGATGAACTCCTCGCTGATGGCAAATGTGAAAAAAGCTTTCACCGGCGAACTAAGCGATCTCGTTGACCCGTACGTTCAAGTGTCCTTTGCCGGTCTGACGGTAGGTAAACATTAACAAGCGTCCAACAGCTTTGTACGATTTTTTCGCTCCTCTCAGGGTAAAACAAGCGTGAAGAAACACAGTTACGCACCTGTTTGGAACGAGCAGCTCGTTTTCACCGAGATGTTTCCGCCGTTATGTCAGAGGATCAAGATTCAGCTGAGGGATAACGACCCCGTCAAGCCAACGGTGATCGGGACGCACTTTATAGACCTCAAGACCATCTCCAACGACGGAGAGAAGGGTGAGATTCAGGTATAATACATAAGGTAGATGCACCTAATTGCCGGCAGCGTAGAGCAAATCGGATTCGGGACACGACGAGAGCAGATTGTATCTAATTTTGACACTAATGCTGTAATACTTATTTAGGGGGATGTTAGGATATCGTGAAAAAATCTGGAAGGGATGAAGGTGGATCGGACTCGTTTTGTTTTATTTGGCTGAATGACAGCTGGCGGCTGAAGTATAGGTCGAAACATAGAGTCGGATGAGATTAAAGGCTCTATAGCATGTACAAGCGTATAAGAGATGTTTAGATGGTAGCAGATATAGCGCGTTGTTTAATTAATGCCAGAGGGGCTCAGAATAATCAATTTTGTGATAAGTTAAATTGAGTTACGCAAACGGGTATACGAGGTCGAAATAATAAACTGTTTTTTTGACTAATTGAGATATCTTCCCAGATGTATTATTTTCTATTAATTTAACAAATTTTCTTAGCAATGGAACAGACCCGGTACTGAAAGTAGAACGTTACTGTACGAAATTTTTCAATTTTATTCCCTTAATCTACAAGTTAGAGTAAATAATAGTTATTTATGCATCAAGGGAATATACTGCCATATTAATCCTGAAACTGTAAGTGATGCCCACACTCCCTTCGGTCGCTCGGGCATCTTCAGTCGAGGGATTAAGAAAGTTTGTTCTAGAGATGCATACAAAACTTTCCTCCCAACCGGTTAAATTAACAATAATCACAAACGAAAATGATGATTGCGCGTTACGGATACATTTAAATGAAGTGGGCTGACAGTTATCAAGGAAACGAGTTTGTTGTGTGTCAAAAAGAAACGCTCGAAATATTCAATTGCAGTTAATTTTATGAATAAAATCTTTCAGAAATGGAAAAAAATGAACATTGGAGAAAAGTTTGATATACCTTCGTCCATTACTGCAAAACCTAAAGGTGTAACGTACAATTTGCTTCCGGAGAAATCGAAAAATGTGCATAAAGTTTGGTATTTTACTTAAATTGATCTTACTGTATTTCCTAGAGAATAAAGTATCATTTTATTACCAAAAACGGGGGAATAAAGTACCATTTTATTTCCGGTTGGGGGAAAATAATGTAATCGTTCTTCTAAATAATAGATCTAAATGTCTGCACTTTTTCTAAAAAATAGAATAGAAGCTTGCGATTTACGTTCATAAAGTTTTTAGTTGCTTTAGTATCACAAAAATATCAAGACTTATATAATCTACGGTAGAGGTACCACCCTCTAGGTACTTTTACCTTTTCTTTTTCTTCACAGTGCAATTGTTTCTACGTACAAAATATGTCGTTTAGATTAGCTGTTAGGAATATCGTGTAGATGGTTAAACTCCAACCGAAATTTGGATAATCATCTCCACCAACAACTTGGTGATCTCAAAATTTTGCTTGATCAATGCTATTTAAATTTTATAAAATAACATACCTCTACTTGTGGTTTATGAATCCTGGTTAAGTTTCTATCTTAGGCATCTCGATTTTCGCAAAGAAAGCCAAAATTTTGCAACAGTTTATAGTAATATAAGAGGAATGTCCGTAAGCGGTCGAGGGCTCAGATGGTTAGGTGCGTGCTAATAACGGGAATGTCGGGGGTTCTATACCATCATGAGCAACTTTTTTTATACCGTAGTTGGTATTACCTGCAGCTGATTCAAAAATGGTGCACTAGAAAAATAATTAAATATATCTCTACGACAGTTTGACGTTCATTTACAAAAACAAAATATCGATTAGGTAGATCTATTAAAAAAGGTAAAAAATTAGCCACTGGTGTCAGCTTTATTCTGAATAATTTTAAGTTTTTCTAACATTATAAAATGAAGAAAACTAGGGATAAGAACACGATACTTCCAAAATTCTTTTGAATAATGAAAGTCCGATCGATATCATGTACCCATCGCAGTAGTGAATTAGTATTCTACATTTAGGTCCAAGCATATTTGTATATTGTTTCTTGATAACAAAAAACTGGATTTGTTCGATTATACTTCAGGAACAAGGGAAATTATGTCGAATAATAATCGACCAATATTTTAAAGGCAACAAGACAAAATATATTTTGAAAATTTCTCGTCAACAGTACTCAAAATTGTATTACTTCCCAACTGAGTGTTTTTAGTCGGAAAAGTAGTCAATGGGCCATATCAAGAATGCTTTCAAGATAAACTGTAAAATTTGGATTTTTACTTAACGAGCATAAGCTAAGGAAGCATATATTATAATACGGTACTCCATACGGCAAACGGTTACTTCCATATTTTTTCAATATTTCATGACCCTTAGAGTATGAAAAAATCGGCTGACTGTCGTCTGTCGTCTCTCACCTGACTTCTGTTTGTGACGATTTTTATTAAGTAGATAATCTTTGAAACTACTGGACCGATTGTTGTCAAATTTTTAATTTTATGTACTCGTATGTTAGGAACATCGTGTGGATGATAAAACTCTGATCAAAATTTGTCTAATCATTCCCACCAACGATGACGTCACCTCAAAATTTAGCTTGGTGAAAACCATTCAAATTTTAATTTAAATTTTATAAAATCATATACTCTCCTGTTTGTGTGTCATTCCATCTTGAGTTTTCAAATTAAAGCATCCAAATTTTCCCACAAAAAATCCAAATTATTTTACACCAGTATAAGAGCAACTTCAAAATAGCAGTGAAATGACATAGTGGTAATCGTATCGAACTAATAATTCGGAGGCCGCCGCGCCGGTTCAATTTCTTCATGGGCTATTTTTTTCTATCTATATTTTTTAACTTATAATACATCTAAAATTTCAAAGTAATCTTGGCAGTGGCTTCAAAGTATTATTTGCCTAATAAAATCGTTAACAGACATATTTTTTCATAATTTAAAAGCTCTAGGCTTTTTTAGATTCCAGGTTATTTCGAGAAGACTTCCCTATCTCCTAATGTACAGTCCAACAATTTCCATTTCTTTGAAAAATTAAGAAATTTGATTTTACGAACTTTTATTTGTGGTAACCTTTATGCATTAAAACAAATATAGATAGTACCAGTGACAGTGTAAGAAGATAAATAACATCCTATAAATAGTTTTGGTACCCTATATTTTTTTTAGATTTGCTCGTAGAAGTTGTTTTTCTGAATTCATTAATATGTCATACTTTAATCACATCCGGCACTGTCTATGATTCGAATGCTTTATGTTATGAAAACGGATTCTTATTAATTTAACGGATTAATAATTGTTCCAAAAATGGCTGTGCCTGCTTTGTAGTGTGTTTTCCCATTTGAAAATGTTCAACAAGGATACGTAAAATAAATAATAAAACACTCAATGTACAGTTCTTGTAATTTGATCAATAAAAATACAGACTTTCGCGTTAGAAAGCAAACACTTCACGTGATAAGTTAAACCTTGTGGGAACTCCGCTTATACACTAATGTGAAAGGTTGCTCCGCAATATCAATTTTTTTGCCAAAATTTGTATGCCTCGAGAAAAATCTCAAGCCGGACTCATAAACCACAAGTAGAGAAGTATGTTATTTTATAAAATTTAAAACTTATTTACGATGAAAAATTTTGATGTGATGTCAGCATACTGTTGGTAGATATGACTAGTCAAATTTTAGTTAGCGTTTTATCATCTACACGATATTCCTAACATAGGTACACATAAAATTTGAAAATAATTTATTCGGTAGTTTCGGAGATTATCAGTCTAATAAAAATCTGGACAGACTGCAGATAAACAGACAGTTAGACAGATTGGCGAAAACGGAATACCAATTTTTTCGAACTCTAGAGATCTTGAAACATCGAAAAAAAAATTAAAACGGCCAGTCGCCCGATGGACTCGACTACAATACTTCCCTAGGGCTCGGGATGTAACAGTGGGGTATTTTTTTATAACATCATTCGTTTTTACTTCCTAAACGTAAGCTAAGCTGTAATCAAGTCCATTGGATGACTGACTACTTTTATGTTTTCTTGACGTTTCGTGACCCCTAGGGTACGAAAAAACAGGTTCCCCTTTTCCGTCTATCGGTCTCTTTATCTGTACGACTGTCTTTATTAGACAAATAGTCTAGGAAACTACTGGACCGATTGTTGAAATTTTATGTGTGTATTAGGAATATCGTATAGAGAGCAAAGCTCTAACCAAAATTTTATTACTCATCCGCTCCAACAATAGGATGACATCATCTCCAAAACTGACATGAGTAAATGTTATTTAAATTTTATAAAATAACGTACTCCTGCATATGCGGTTCATGAATCCGTGTGAATTTTTACCCTGGACATCGAAATTTTGGAAAAAATCAAACTTTCATAATGTTTTATAATTTTACTTTGAAATTGCAAAACCGAGTGCTCTAAGCGTTTCAAGTTTGTCATAAGCATGGTAAATCGTTAAAAATTTTTTGCCCCCCTAAAAAAATGACGTTATTTTGCAATTTTGCCGAATAAATCTTTTTAAATTTTATAAAATTACCCATACTCCTACATATGTGATTCAGGAATCCGTGTTGAGTTTTTACCTTAGATATCCAGGTTTTTGGAACAAAAATCAAAAATTTATAACATTTTACAATTTTACTTTGAAACCGAATGCTGTGAAATCTTACAAATAGTTAAGGTTATTGGAAGTATGGTAAATCGGTAATCAAAATTTATCCGTCAAATGTGAGTGTTTTTGGTAAAAAATCTTTAGTGTTTTTTTTTTGGTCAAAAAAAAACATCAGTTTTCTGCGGTAAACAGTATTCAAAAACTGAGTCATTTTTACGACTAGCAGGATCTGCAGTACAAAGTTATCAGAATAGAATCAAAATCCTTTTTAATAATGAAAAATAGAGCGGTTACACCGAACGAACATATCTCTTTGTTTTCAATCTGAGCTTTCACACATACGTGGCGAAAGCTCGTGGCGAGATAACGCCGCATCATGTTGCATTTCGGCCGGATTGCCGGAAGAAGGGATAGATGAGATAGCAAGT